AAGAGTAAACAATATGCTTGTTATTCTGAGCTATAAGGTTAAAGTTCACTCGTCACCAGTTAGACTAAGACTAATTCTTAATGATTAGTGATCATAAGTTTGTTTGTATGAACAAATGTTTTATAAAGTTCATCTGTTAACCGAATTTCAAACAAAGCTTAAGTCATTCGTTAACATCTATTATAGAAGTAGTTACATGGACATACAACAAACAGTACTATTATATTTATATACAACAGACAGTACTATTATATTTAATATTTATATAGAAGTAGTTACATGGACACAGTAATATTATATTTATATAGAAGTAGTTACATGGACATACAACAGACAGTACTGTTATATTTATATAGAAGTAGTTACACGGACATAAAACATACAATACTATTATATTTATAGAGAAGTAGTTACATGGACATACAACAGACAGTACTATTATATTTATATAGAAGTAGTTACATGGACATACAACAGACACTACTATAATATTTATATAGAAGTAGTTACATGGACAGACAACAGACAGTACTATTATAGAAGTAGTTACATGGACATACAACAGTAAGTATAACAGTGCTGTCTGTTGTCTGTCCATGTAACTACTTCTATATAAATATAACAGTACTGTCTGTTGTCTGTCCATGTAACTACTTCTATATAAATATAACAGTACTGTCTGTTGTATGTCCACGTAACTACTTCTATATAAATATAATAGTACTGTCTGTTGTCTGTCCATGTAACTACTTCTATGTAAGTATAACAGTACTGTCTGTTGTCTGTCCATGTAACTACTTCTATATAAATATAATAGTGCTGTATGTCCACGTAACTACTTCTATATACATATAACAGTGCTGTATGTCCACGTAACTACTTCTATATAAATATAACAGTGCTGTATGTCCACGTAACTACTTCTATATAAATATAATAGTGCTGTATGTCCACGTAACTACTTCTATATAAATATAATAGTGCTGTATGTCCATGTAACTACTTCTATATAAATATAACAGTGCTGTATGTCCATGTAACTACTTCTATATAAATATAATAGTGCTGTCTGTTCATGTAACTACTTCACAGGGTGTGGATGGGTATGGAGGTTCATTAGGTCCATGCGGGGGACATACAAATTTTCAGTTTTGCGGTATTTATGAGCGTTTTTTACCACTACTTCTGCAATTTTTCTGAATGTTTTGTGTTTTTACAATTATATATATATAAGGGAAGCAACTTTTCATGTCCTAAGATAATATTTCATTAATCATGAATTTACATAACTTCTGTCCAGGGGACGTGTACCCCAGCTTGTTTAATTATATTGCAGTATAGCACAAACTTTTTTTTTCTCCAGTGGTTACATTATAATTACTTCATGCAATTCCCCGTAATCATTTGTTCCTGTACAGTTCGCAATAACTATTGCATTTGGAAGAAAACGTTTGTAATGATGAGGCCAAATGCGTATGTTAGCTCTGGATTTCGGAGCTGGCGATACTATAGAATACTCCCCGCACTTTGAGCTGTGTGTGCGTTATAAGAGTAACGGTCAATCTCTCAGCGTTGATGGCAGTTGGTAGGGTGTTGCTGACTGGCTGTCTTACCTCTGGTCATTATTTCAAAATTAAGGACGGCAGCAGTTAGCCTTAGTAGGTTTGCCATAATAAAAAATACAAAGTTATGACGTGTCAGCAGCTCATTGGGTGACGTGACAAAAAAAACACAAAGTATCAATTTGTTTTTAGTGAATACATTGACTCGTTACAAATAATTATTTGTAAGTAATTCTGTTGACATGGGGATATACATATATACGTAATAAACAGATATTGGTGAATTAATTTTCTGCACAGCACCTTCTCTTAAAATGAAGACCGAAATATGTCATTCCCTGTTTTCTATACTGTTTTGAATTTAAAGTTGTGCCAGGAAAAGTTTACTCCAGTACCATATTTACTTTAAGAAATGGAAAAAAACTTCCTTGCAAGTGATAAATGTTTTAGTTTGTTGTTTATTATGTTATTAAATGTAAAACTTAACAAAGCTGTAGTTCCTAAAACATTAAGCATTAATTTCCGTATAATTAAGAAACTAACTCGTTTTTCATGCCTTACTTGTATATCTGTTTTCTATAATACATGATGTTAATATTACGTCTGTCATAGTCTCTGACTTTAGATTCTGATACATATATTTAAATTAGTTGACTTTACCATGAAATCAGTTCTCTCATCTAATACTGGATATACTTCCGCAGGGTCCCAGAAAATATACTGTTTCAAGAGTGAATAAAACCAAACTCACAACACACATTAGCGTGTTTCGCTGCCAGAAAAAAAAAACTTGCAGGACACACTGTGTTATTAACAAGAGTGATAGTTTAGCGATTTTCCATCTCCTGTAGCTCGGACTGTGGTAATCCAAACTGTCACATATTTTTATTGGATGTGCTCTACTATTCTCTTACTTCACATACCAAATTTCAAGGCAATCCATTAAGAAATACCGGAGATATAACATCTCTGTTTTTTCTTCGCACCAAAAGTACGGAAAATTTATGTGATAGAAAAATAGTTAACTTTTGTTGTTTTTTGTTTTTTCTAATTTGGTACACTGCTATATCTTTACAACCCACATTTACGAGCATCGTTTGGTGCAGATATAAGCCACATGTGCAAAGTTATTGAACAAAAACCGCGCAAATTTAACGAAAATATTTGCGCGCGCCTACGCAATAAGTCACGTGAGTTACCGGTCTAATATTTTTAATAAAGTTTCCCCTAAGAGTAAAAGTGGACCGTTTTTAGTTTTTTTGGTCATTCTGACTAAAGACTGCTGATTTAGAGCAGCAAACCTACAAGGTGAAGGGACGTGCGGATACATAAATATTGGTTAGGCCAAAAACTAGATTAGCAGTTTCTAGCTCAAGTTTTCAAAAGAATCATACCGATGGACGGTTATTATTGATTATTCATTGCCAACTTTTCAACACAAATCTACTAAATGTTATGAAATTATCCTAATTAAAGAGCGTTTAGTACCACATGACATTAGCTTAAGCAATTAGCATAAACAATGATGTTTGATACGGCTGTACTGATTGCATGAGGGTGATGACAAGAAAC